ATATAATGATCATTGTTTTAACACTAGAAGACCCTCCTGAGAGCTCTCCATTGACTATTACTATTATTTAAAATGTAGTAGTGACACAGGTCCATTGAGACACCTCAGAGGTGACACCTGTGGCAAATCTGCTTTTCAATGCTATGTGAGAGATAATACCAGTTCCTTTACTTTGGCCTGCTATTTCACTTTGTCACATTCAGGTCAGCACATTCTTTGAAAAGCAGACAGAATTTCGTTTTTAAACAACTCCGTTAAAGTATGAGCGAACAGTATGTATTCCCGCCCAAGTAGCAAAACCTAGTAAGAACTTTAAATTATTCTCTCCATATGAAAATCTCTAGTACTGCAGTACTTTCCCAGCTGGAATGGGACATTACCTTGGCATCCCAAAGATTTATCTATGTGGTGTGGCACAGATTCTGGAAGGCAATCCATGATCACTTGCACGTGTGTTTCAAGAAAAGAGTCATTAGCATACAGCCGTTCCTGGGTTCCGGTTCTCAAGCAGGGGCTTTGATGAGCTTTTAGCCTACAGAGTAGGAGGTTTCCCAGAGGATTAGAAGCATATTCTGACACCAGTTACTAGGTCTTTTGTTTCACTTCAGAGTGTGGCTGCATAAGAGAGGCTGAGTAAGAATGGGCTTATTATGAAACCCTGTTTCACTTCACTGGTGATAGGGAATGTGTCAGATGTCTCAAGCCGGTGCCAGCATCTCTAACATAACCAACTATCTGGGATAGCTTTAGGATTTGGGGGAACATCTCTGGAAACCCAACTTACTTAGTACCCCTACATCCATGCTCACTTGTGGGCAAACAGTAACCTTATAAAGCCAAAATATGTGAATCAGAGCTATTATATTTTCTTTAAGGCCTAAATTAGGTTTCTGTGTTTGTGTTTTAATTTAACAAATATGTACTCTTTACTCTTCCTTGGACACTGTAGAGATGCAAAAATAATAACCCCTGTTCTTAAGCAACTTAAAAGTTCCCTGGGAGAGAACAAACTGGAGACAGGAGCTGGGGTTGTAGTTCAGTTGGTAAAACACTTCCTCAAACCCATGAAGCACTGGGTTCAATCCTCAACACCACATAAAAATAAACAGATAAAAATAAGAATTGTGTCCATCTACAGCTAAAAAAAAAAAAAATTAAAAAATAAAAAACTGGAGACAGATGCTGCTGCTTCAAATTCTACATGAGCTGGAGTGCTACCAAGCACCAAAAAGGCTAGGAATCAGAATTCCAGGATACCATCCCTTCTCAGCATTCACTCTCCACTTAAGGCCTCCGTTGCATACTTTACCATCTTCTCTAATTGTGTTTACAACACCATTCCGCGTTTGCTTGCAATTTCTTCCCTTTCCTGTTTGCTTCTTCCTTTCAGCCCACAAAGCATACTCATAAATTTTTATATTTTAAAGCCCTTGGAGAAAATTTCCTTGACCTCCCCTAGACTTTTTGCAAACCTCAGCTCATCTTCTTCCTTCTTCTTTGCTGCTTCTTTCTCCCAGTTCTGCATTTGTAGACATCTCTCAGAGCACAATTCTTTTTTTTTTTTTTAAATATTTATTTTTTAGTTATTGGCAGACACAACATCTTTGTTTGTATGTGGTGCTGAGGATCGAACCTGGGCCGCACGCATGCCAGTCGAGCGCGCTACCGCTTGAGCCACATCCCCAGCCCAGAGCACAATTCTTAACTCTCCTATTCCCCTTGGCAACCTTATGTACTTTACCATCACCAAAACTTTCAAGTCAAATGTGGACTTCCAAAGCCAGCTCCACTTAGCACCACTGCCAGGCCATCTCAGGTTACATGTGTGCAAACTTAAACACACAGAAGCATCATGATGCCTGCAGCTTACTTTCATGTGATGTCTCAAAATAAACAGAAACAATGCATACATGGTAAATTTTTAACACCTGATGAGTCAAGGTGAAGGGTGGGTACTTGCTGTATTATTCTTCTGCAGCTCTGAAAACTTTCAAACTAAAAACGTTTTGACAAACATGTAAGGTCTGAATCAAAGTCAGAAATCACTGTCCTTGCCTTTTAGGGGATTTATAATCTACTTGTCTAATCTCATCTAAAAGGGGGTAGATCTGAGAGTTCCACAACTGATTAATAATAAACTCAAATACATAATCAAATTGCAAATATTTACTAATGGCCTACTAACTGTAACATGCTAACAAAAATTGTGTATGATCAACAAAGCAAATAATTAAACTATTTTAACCTTGGAGAGAGGACCTCTGCCTCCCCTAAGTCGGTTCATTTTTCTGCCTTATCTATTTGTATTAATGATGGCACCAGCATCTTCCCCAGTACCCAAAGGGACCATGAATTCCTTTTTAAGTTCTCCATATCTAAATCAGTAGCCAAGTTCCTTGGATTCTACTGCCGCCTTCTCTTCTCCACTTTAAAGGCCACCACCTGTAACTCTGACCTACTACAGACTACTGAAGCAATCTCCAAGCCTCCTGCTTCCCACCCAGATCTACTCAATCCTTATTTGTCTCTATCCAGATGCTCAGCTCTAAATGAATTACAGCTCCTACTTAAGAGGATGATACTGCTCCTCAGTCTTTATAAAATGAAATTCAAAGCCTTAGCCCGATAGTGAAAAACACCACAAGATTGCTCTCTATTTTATCCTCCCACTTGTTTCTTACTATCCAAAGCTTTATTCCCTCCCGTGCAAGAGTGCCCTCTCTCTGCCATCTCTGCTTACATGTTTCCTCCACCAAGGAGACCCCTTATTCTTCACCCTATTTCTCATGTCCTCTGTGAAGCCTTCTCAGATTACTAAGTGCCCCAGGTCAAAGTTAGCTCTCAATCCTCTGAACCTTTATAACATGTCAGTTTCATCTATTACTTTGATACTGTTCCCCCAGTCTCTATAAAATGAAATTCAAAGACAATATTCAATATTTCCAAGTACTATTCAAAATCCGTGTATGCCTTTCTTACCACCTGTACAGATTATGAACTCCTTGAGGGCAGTGCCTTTTCATGTAGAAGAGGGACTCAAGGTTTGCCTCAGGAATTTAACATCAGCATAGCGTGCTTTACAAGAATCTACAAAGACTGGTATCTTCTAAGTTATAAGAATTTTCCTCAAAATACTACTTTAACAGTGATAGTTTTTATTCACACATGCACCTCATAAAATTTTCCCTTTTCATCATGTTTAAGTGTACAATTCTGGGCATTAATTACATTCACAATATTGTACAATAACTGCCACTATTTCCATAATTTCCACCACACTATACAGAAACTCTGTACCCATTAGAAATAACTCCTATTCTCTCCTTCAAATAGACCCTGGAAACCTCTAATCTACTTTCTGTTCCTCGGGGTTTGCCTATTTTAGGTATTTCATATAAGTGGAATCATACTCTGTCCTTTTGCATCCAGCTCATTTCACTTAGTGTCTAACATTTTCGAGGTTCATACACATTGTTACCATGTATCAGAAATTCGTTCCTTTTCATGGCTGAATATTCCACTGTATATACATATGACATCTCATTTGTCCACCTCAATGATATGAGTTATTTCCACTTTCTGGCCATTATGAATAATGCTGCTGTGATTATTGACATACATTTATCTGTTTTGAGTCCATTTTCAATTAACATGGTTACAGAAGTTAAAATGCTGAGTCACATGGTAATTCTGTTGAGCTACTGTGTGTGTGTGTGTGTGTGAGAGAGTGAGAGAGAGAGAGAGAGAGAGAAAGAGAGATACACAACTGGAGATTGAATTCAGGGCCTCACACATGCAAGCAAGCACTCTACCACTGAGCTACATCTCCAATCCTTTTACTTTATTTATTACTAAAGACTGAAGCCAAAGGAACTTAACCACAGAGTCGCATCCTGAGGCCTTTCTATTTTTTATTTTGAGACAGGATCTCACTAAATTGCTCAGGGCCTCCCTAAGTTGCTGAATTTGGTAACTTGTCATACTCCTGCCTCAGCCTCCTGAGTCAGTGGAATTATAAGCATGTACCACTATGCCCAGCCTTTTATTTTGAGACAGGGTCTCCCTAAAATTTCCAGGGTGACCCCCCACCCCTTGCAATTTTCCTGCCTCAACCTCCCCAGGAGCTGGGATTACAGGTGTGCACAACAGCAACAGTAGGGTTTTATAATTCAGATACAGCTTTTTGGTAAACACAACAGCCACAAGAGTTACCTACTCATTTGGAAAACTATTCACTTCTGGACAGGTTTCCTTCCAACCCTCTCAGGCCCCAGATGATGATCTAATTTCAGGAGCTTAACCCTTGTTTGGGTGCTAACTTGACTGTGTTGCCATTCCAGTCTCCTGGTTCTCACTATTTTCAACATTGCTTTTACATATGTAAAGATACACACACTGCAATGGTAACACCCCAAGTGAAAAGTTATGAAACTAACCATTGTTCAGATGTTTAAGTCATATTTTCATCCTTAATGCATTTAGCAACATTAGATAAAGGCATTAAAAGGATGTTTTTCAGCACATACATGGATTTTTGAAAAGGAAGACTTTTGTTAATCCCACTCTTACACTCAACCATTTAAAACATGCTGAACTTGGACAACTGTTTAAGACTGTATTATTGCAAGAAACAGACTTCTTTTCATTCCCAAGGTTAGCAGCCTCTCACTATCATTACCACCAATTATAGATTTTGTTAAATGAGAAAAATACAAGTATGTAAATTCAAATAAACTATGTGGAAAACTATGCACAAAGTGCAAATCTGAAGCATCTCTGCAAAGAGCAGAACAGAAGATGTCATGGAGATCTTTCACTATTTAATAAACAAACTTGCACATTTGAATTTTTCAAAAATACATGTTCTTATACTATTGTGTAATGGTTTTAAATTAAATGTATTTACAACACATATCGAATAAATTTTATGATAAAAAAGGCAATGTTAGCTAAAAAGACGAACTATCAAAAAGAGGCTAGCTGGGATCCGTGGTGCATACCTATAATCCCATCGGCTCGGGAAGCTGAGGCAGGAGGATTCTGAGTTAAAAGCCATCTTCAGCAATATAATGAGGCCAACTAAGCAACTCAGTGAGACCCTGTCTCTAAATAAAATACAAAATAGGGATGGGGAGGTGGATCAGTGGTTGAGTGCCTCCAAGTTCGACCCCTGGTACCCCCACCGCAATAAAAGCTCAACAGGCAATTCTAATATCACCATATCACATACAGAAAACTTCAATCTCAATTGAACTTTACAGCAATTGAACATTTATAAGCCCGGCAAGCCAGGTATTTTAGACCATTCTAATAGATGAGGAAAAAGCGGCTGAGAAGATTTAGAAGCTTTTTAGACAAATGCACTGATTTTTTTTTTAAAGATGTTCTTCTCTTTCACCTTTAAATCATGATTTACAGCTGAACACAGGCAATGCATGTTCATAATCCCAACTACTCCGGAGGGGGAAACAGGAAGATTACAAATTCAAGGACAGCCTTGGCAACTTAATGAGACCCTGTCTCAGAATTTGAAAATGTAGCTCAGATAGAGCACCCCGTGGTTCAATCCCCAATACACACACACATACACACACAGAGTAAATATGATTTAGCTGTAAAATTTAAAACCAAATGTATGTAATTACATAATACAGTTATCCAAGAAAAACAAAAAGCACTGAGTTCAGGAAAAAAAAAATTACTGGTCAACATATAATGAATTAAATAAAAGGAAATTTATGTTTATTATTTTCTCCCCATGAATGAAATATTTAATGATTTCTCAAAGACAGTTTATCTTAAAATAGCAGCCAACCAAAATCTCAGTTTTTAGGTTTCAAGTCACTATATGAGAATGTTGTTCACAATATAAATGTGTCCATTAAAAAAAAATCTAAAGTTTAAAGGACTTAGACAAAATATGCCAATCACAATGCGTGGACATACCATCTACGTTTAAGTCTAAGGGCTAGTTATACAGCTGTAACTAGTCAATTTAGCAAAGTTTCAGCTGTGGGCTATAAATAACAGCTGCAAAACTGACTCTAGTGGCCCAGAGTTCACCAGCTATTTAAAAGGCATAATTTTACAATCCAAGATAGGACAAGAGATAGGGAGTCATTACAGCAGTCAAGACAATATTTTTTTTTCCTAAAAGAACTGAGCCAAACGATAGAGAAAAAAGCCTTACCAAATGCACAGTAAGTTGAAAGACACTGAATACCCACTGAAGGAAGTAAGTTCTGGAAAAGGTTAAAATGTATCTGAGATACATTAATTGAAAGCCAGGTATTTAGCTCTTTCAATATATAATTTATGGTTGACGAAATCACAATTCAATAGGAACCAAACTATTTAGCTTTCATGCTGAGGGTTGCTTCAGGAAAAAATACTTTTTAAAATGTGTGCATTTAAAATAATTAAATTCATACATTTTAACTGGAAGCTAACTTCAAAAATTATCCCCAAACTGAATCATTCCTTTTCATCTCCACATTAAACAATTACATCCTCTAAGATACAAGAACAAAGCATAAAACCAAACACACGTAAGAGACCTGAATATCGGGACTACTAACATTAAAACCATAACACTAGTAGTAAAGGCAACTGAAAGTTAAAAAACAAACTGGGGGGTGGGGTACAGGTTACTGAATCCAGGGATATTCTACCACTAAACTGCATCCCCAGAATTTCTTAGTTATTTTGAAACAGGGTCTTGCTAAATTGCCCCGCTGGCTTTCAACTTGCAATTTTCCTGCCTCAGCCTCTCAAATCATTGGGATTACAGCCATGTGCCACTGAACTTGGCTTAAGAGTAAAAATTTTAATTCATATTACTTAAAAGATCCCACTGAAAGATGTCTTGAGAAAATAAAGCAGTCACTATTTGAAAAGGACAACATAATAGACATTCTCTTGCAAAATAAAGATGACTGGTATTTTCTCTGAATTTACATATTTTTCTCCAAATCTTTAAGTGCACTGAGATTTGTGTGCCCACTATCAATCAACCAACAGCCATGCAGCTTACAGCTTCTCCTGACATAGCACAGGTAATGCCCAGTTTCACCTTAATTAGGTGGATATTCCAAAGATAAAAAAGTTCTACATGCCACAGAAACATAAATCTCTCATACATGAACTCAACTGAAATAATGCAAAACTGAAATGTACTTATCCTATTTTTAAAATGATTCACACCATCAAAATCTTCAAATTGTTTATAATTTAAAATTCGTCAGCACTTATTCATAAGAAAGTCATTACATGTTCTAATAAAATATTAGTTTTGAAACTATGCTTTATAAACTTTATAATTCCATCAGCTTGAGCTGTGTGAACATGAGAGACATGATATAAAACAGGAGCAAAACTACAAAATACAGATCTACCAGGGGAATGTCCACAGACTCCACACAACCAACCCCAGGAAGCAGTGTACTTCCATTTGAACACCAGTTTCTCAACATATTGAAAAGATCTTTTTTGGGCTGGGGATGTGGCTCAAGGTGCGGCCCAGGTTCGATCCTCAGCACCACATACAAACAAAGATGTTGTGTCCGCCGAAAACTAAAAAATAAATATTAAAAATTTTTTTAAAAAAAAAAGATTTTTTTTCCTTCTTTTTTTTTTGTGGTGCTAGGGATTGAATCAGGGCCCTGTGCATGGGAGGCAAGCACTTTGCCAACAGAGCTATATCCCCAGCTCCCTGAAAAGATTCTTTTTGGCCATGAAAGAAATCCTCAAGAACAACAAAGTGATTCAGTTTTGAACTAAAGAGCATTTCAAACTAAAAATGACTTTTCTCACAGAACAGGACAAAATTCAATAAGCATCTCACACCTGGTCAATATTTTTAAAAAAAATGCATCCAAACTGTGAATGATGGTGCATGCCAATAACCCAAGATACTCCATAGGCTAGGCAAGGGGATCACAAACTGTAGGCCAGTTGGGGCAACTTGGTGAGACCCTGTTTCCAGTTTAAAAAAGGGGGTTGGGAAATATAGCTCAGTGGTCAAGTGCCTGGGTTCAACCCCAGTTCAGGTGGGGAAAAAGTATCCTATAAAATAGAAATACTTAAGTTTGCATTTAATCCAGTAATCACAGTTTAGAAAGTTCAATGATAATAAGCAAAATACTGCATTTAGTTTTCTTTTTTTAAATATTTTTTTAGTTATAGGTGGGCACAATATCTTTATTTTATTATTTTATTTTTATGTGGTGCTGAGGATGGAATCCAATGCCTCACGCATGCTAGGCGAGCGCTCTACCACTGAGCCCTGCATTTAGTTTTCAACCTGAACACTCCCACATATTCATCTTAAATTCTGCATATGGCCAATGAATATTTTGCCAGTAACTTCTACTCCTATCTCCAAGTTAGAACATTAATGAAATCTGACATCCCATTCCATTGCCAATCCCAAGAACTGGGAATATGGTAAATGCTATACTTCATTTTTTGTTCCTTTTCTTTTTTTTAATTGATTAAAAATAATAATAAATGACAGCAGAATGCATCACAAATCTTATTACATGTATACAGCACGATTTTTCACATCTCTGATTGTACATAAAGTATGTTGACACCAATTTGTCTTCATACATGTACTTTTGGATGATGATATCTATAACATTCAACCGCTATACTTCATTTTTGGACTACAGGAATTATAGGATCTAAGAATGATTCTGCATGAAATACACAGTCCTATTACAGAGTTCGAAATCTGTCCTTGCACCTTGACTCAACAGTAGCAAATGGCTATTCTAAATAAAGTTAAATGACCAACAAACCCTTTGAAAACTGGTTTCAAATTGTTTTGAAACTTAAACACACACACAACACACACACACATATATGGACTGAATGAACATTATCAAGGGAAAACACCACCTTGTAGGAATTTAAATCTATAATTACAAACAAAATCCTTTTATCAAAGCCACAAATTATTTCCTGAAGTGCTCTGCCAAAAGTTCAATACAAAATAAGTTTGAGGATCCAGTGTTTTAACTCTACACTTTTATATTGGCTTCATAGCCTTGAATAAGAGATTACTGTAGCAATGCAAGTTTTCTAAACCAAAATGTACCTCCGCAACTGAAGTGTTTTGCATCATCTTTAAATAACATAAAAATCCATTAGGCAAAGAAAGGTACACCTTTAAATTTACTTCGCAGTTTTGTTTCATGTATGTAAGTGTCTACTACAAATAAATCCATTACTCGGCTTCTACAAAGTACTGAGATAGTCAAAGTTTCAAAGACATTACACTCTGGTTAATACATTTCAGAATACTTGATGCTAGCGCCAAAACAAGGAATTAACCAAAGTAAAGCAAAAATCTACAATATTACAAAGAAAAACCCGAGACAGAGATTAGAAAAATTTTAAAAAGAAAATAATCTGAAAGGCAGCTCACCTGCAGTTAGGTGGAGGGTCTAAAGTGATGTCTGCCAGTTCCTTCTGAATCCTGGAGTCAGGGAAATGAGAAAGAGAAACACAAGACGCATTAAGGCCTTGCAAGCCTCCCACCTGTAACTACAGGTCTGGCAGACAGACCTAGCCGCGATAATTGGATTCCACTGGGGAATGAGGAAAAGACACATCAAAAACTCAGGTCTGGGACTGGGAATGTCGGTAAGTGATAGAGCACCTGCACAGATGCGTGAGGCACCGGGTTCAATGAGGGGTGGGGGTGGGGGTAGGGGTAGGGGTAGGGGTAGGGGTAGGGGTAGGGGTAGGGGTAGGGGTAGGGGTGGGGGTGGGGGGGAGGGCAGATCTGTAATTCAGGAAAAAACTTTTTTCCCCCAGAAGCAGTGAAGCGGAAATCTGAGGTCTCCTGCCATCATCTACAATGTGTGGGTTCCAATTTCGCCTCCCACATTTGCCGTTTTCCATTTGGGAATCGTTTTAAAGATTCCCACTTGCGAGCTGGGCTGGTGGCGCACGCAATGACTAAGAAGTCCGAGGCAGGAGGATGGCAAGTTCGAGGCCAACCGGGGCAACAAGGCGAGACTGAGGTCTCAAAATTTAAAAAGGGAAAAGAAAAAAATATGAGGCGGGCTGCACCCTTCGTGATCGAGTGCTCGCCTAGGAGGCACAAGGTCCAGCATTCAATTCCCCGCACCGCAAAAACAAACAGCCCCACTTGCGGAGCAGTTCCCTGATTCCTCCTTCCCCCGCTCCCCCGCTCCCCCTCTCCCCTAGGACAGAGATCAGAGCCTCCGTGGGTGGGAAGGTCGCGACCCTCTGGCCTCCCCGCCCGGGGAACGCGCCGGTCCAGCCCTAGCCTGGCCCGACGCCCTCACGTCCGGCCCGGCCCGGCCCGGCAGGGCGCCCCCAGCAGGCCGAGGATCCCAGGACCCGCCCGGCACCGGCCCGAGTCCTCGGTGACGGAGCCAACATGGCGGCTCCCCGCGAGGCCCCTCGGGCCCTGACTGACCTGCCAGGCGTCGCGCACCCTCGGGGCTGGCCGCTCGGCAGCCGCCCCCGCGGCCGGTCCCTCCCACCCCTACTTGTACACAGACGGCTCGCGCTGCGCGGGTGAAGTTGCCAGACTGAGGAGATGGGGTGCCCGCGCGGGGGGACGCTCCGGGTGCTCAGCGCCGCCCGGAACCTCGGCCCCGACGCCACGCGTCGGCCCGCAGCACCCGCCCGGGCCGCACAGGTGCACCGGCGCCGGCCTCCGCACGCTCGCTCAGCCCACCTCTCCAGACCTGCCTTTTCCTGACGTCCTAACTTCTTGGAAGGCCTGCCCTTTCCTTCCCTGTGGACGCGGAACCCGGACCCCAATTTTCTGCCCAGGCACCAACCCTCGACTTCACAAAGAGTCCCATCCCCCACTCCTAGGCCGAAGCCACCAGGCAGTTCACACCAAGCCCTGGCCTTTTGTCTTCTGCTTACCTAGGCGCTCAGAGCATCCATGAATAGGACAAACTTGGGGCCTAAGAGCCTCTGCCACTTCTAAACGCCGCCTATTTTTTATAATCTTTTCTCCTATCATATAAAGCCCTCCGGGCTGTGTTACAACTTAAAAAAATCTCACCATGGCAGGATGGTAGTAAAAACAAGAACAAACATACACGCTAGGCAATTTGAATGACAATGATGCTTTTCTCTTTCCAAAGGTTTTCGGAGGGTAGGAAGAGGCCAGCTATATGCATGAGGTTTTAAAAGGCGTTCTTCCACGTTAAAGTAAAAAAAAAAAAAAATTAAGGGCGACGACTGGGGAAGTTCTTTCAACTTCCCTATTGAAGGATATTTCCTGCCCCCTACAAATCTGATCAGTTTAAGAAAGGGGTTTTTTCAGTCTCTTCTGTCATCTATTTACCAGTGTCCTGCTAAATTCCCCTGCTACCAATAAGCATTTCAATTCAAAGACAGTGGCATCCCTGTTGTTTAACTCACTGGATGTTAGATTTAAGAGTTCCAAATCCTGGCTTCCTGATTCCCTACTTGCAGCTTTTAGAATTGGCTGTAATTGTTTTTTTGTTTGTTTTTGCAGTACTGGGGATTGAACCCAAGGGGGCTTTACCGCTGAGCTATAACCCCCTTTTTAATTTTTATTTTAAGACAGGATCTCTCTAAATTGCCTGGAATTTACAATTCTGCCTCAACCTCCCTAGTTGCTGGGATTACAGGCATGCATCACCGCAGCCAGCTGAACTGACTGCATTTTTAAGACCTAGGTATGAAAAAATATCCTCTCCTTCGGGTCAAATAAGGTAATCGCTTCCTTAATACCTAAAAAGTGTATTACCAGACAGCTTTATGCACTTCATCTTGACAGCCAGCATTTGCACCATTTCCAGAGTGCTGGCCAAAGATTTGCAAGAGGAATACATGCATATGTCCCAGGGAGTGAATCTTGTTCAGAACACTCTCCATAGGGGCTTTCCTCTCTCCGACCCCCCCCCCACCCCATAGTTTAGAAACCACTTTCCAATGTGCAATGAGTAACCCCTTAAGTCTGCCAATTCAGTCTTGTTTTCACACCATCTCTTGGTAAATTTGTCTCTTCCAATTCTATGGCCAATAACTATCTTCCAAATCAATATATTTCACAAAGCACCATCTATAGGATCCCACTAACATCAATTTTCCTTTTACTCTTTCCTGGATATACTGTCCCTCTCCACCTTTTGCCTTTTGATATTAACCTTAGCTCTGCTTTAACACAAATAGTCACTCTTTCAGCAAGTTCTCCAGGCAACTAAATTCACTGTATAAAAACAAAACTGGTGTTAACTTATAGGTAAAATCACTATTTGAAGCTTCTCATCTCTCTCCCAGCCATTCCAAATAATCTTTTAACCTCTTTTGCCTAAATGAGCAAATTGAGTCTAGGGAAAAATCTTTGTGAATGCTAACAAAAAGCACACTATATTTTATTTGGTACCTATGCCTTTACCCCCCAATATATTCATGTACACCAGGGATACCCAGCAAAATATAGAAAAAAAAATACTAATGACCTAAAGCAGATATCCTACATTGGGGCAGGTCAGGCCAAAAGCAGCCTGAGGATAGGGAGCTTAGAGGCTTGGGGGAGGGGTAATTGTTAAGAAAAGGACCCAGCCAGAGTGGATAGGGTAGATGCCAGATTCCAGGAGAACCCACTCAGAGCTAATCAAAAAAGGCCAGTTAGGACTCCTGGGAAGATGAGACATAATCAAATTAACATCTTGAAAATGACAACAATCTTCCAAGTCATCATGCCATTTCACCCAAGAACTTCACACTGTTTAAAATAAGCTAAAGTCACTACATTGGCCCACAACTAGGTCACCAAAACAGTTTACTAAATTTTCCAAAACTTCAAGTCAGGGGAAATGACAGAACTCAAAACTCTCAGGCTCACTACTCTTCTGAAAAATCCCTTTAAGAATGGAATCCTATCTAACCCAGCATTTGGATTCCTTACGGTCTTCACAGCTTGCCACTTTAAGGTTTAACAACTATTTAACTGAGAACAGAAGGATTTATGAAAGGGTTCCTAGAAATCTGCTATAGATTATTTTAAGGGTCATGGGGATCAGAGGATGTTACTTAAGGATGATGGTGGTAAAAAAGTAGCTAACACGAGAGAAGAGGAAAGGAATAAAAAAGCCAAACTACTTGAATTCATTTGAAAAAAAGGGAAGAGGGTGAAAATTTCAGTTTTACAGCATGAGAGCCAATGGCACCAGGAGGAAAAGTCTCCCTGAAATTTGGCAAGTAGAAATTCTTAGAAAAGAGTCACAAAAACAACGTGGAACAACCATTTTACAATCATTTACTGGTTGATTCATTTGCGTCAACTCCCCAAGTCAGAAAAATCTCTTAAAATTCCATCAGAAAACATCACCTACTAAATTTTTTGCCTGCTCATGTGAGCTACTTATTCCTTTTGCAATTTGTGGAGAGAGCACTATGCAAAAAAGATCATCCCTGCAACAGGTGATGAGGAAGTAAGACGGTCATAGAATTCATTTAGACACGACTTGTCTGAGAATGTGTTAGTAATTAAGAAGTGGGATGACAGCCTTGGAGAGGGTAACAGATCAGTGACCAAATTTGAGGGTCACTAACAAAAGTAACGCGGACTCTTACAAACTTCAGCAAGAAACTCAAGCAGCAAGCCACAACAGCTGCATGTGGACAATGATTAAAAGTAAAACAGAAGAGGCAACAGAGAAAATAATTAGGGCTTCCATGGCCCCATTTTCATTTTTGAGAACACATAAACTATGAGGAGCACTTAAGCTACCCTCACTGGGAGGCAGATCAAATGCAGTACGAGGCAGTTCCGAAGACAGGAAGCCTGTGGGGGGGTGGGGAGGGGATACGGTACCTCTTGGCGCTGGTGGAAAGGAGCTTGGAGTTTTTGCTCATGCTGACTTTACTCTCCTTCTTCTTGGGGGTGTTTGTTTCTTTCTCGGTTTGCTGGTTGGAGGACGAAGATGAGGAGGAGCTGGTGCTGGCCCTCGAATCGTCATCCGACATAGCGAACCCCCCACCCCACCCCGCAAACGGCCCCTGCAGGGGGAGGGAAACAAAACAGAAACACACAAACCATGCAGGCGGTGTAAATAAGGAACTCGGGTGCTGTCAGGAGGGCACAGACCCTGGCTGCACCCGGCCGCCCACCACCCGCTTTTCAAAGTCTCCAGGCCCATTAAAGCTTTTGCAAATCGGTCGTGGCTTGTTTATTTTTGGCCCCAAGTGAAGGACACGGTGGGAAAACGGTCTGGAGCCCTGCAAGCAGCCCCTCCCTCGCCCCCCGGGGCTCCCCACCGGGCCGGGAGGGAAAGCCGAGGTGGTGGAGGAGGACAGGGGCGCGGGGTGCCTCGGTGGGGACAGGAGGGAAGGTCCCGGCGGCCGGCCGGCCTTGGGGCTGTTTTTGTCCGCTTTCCGGGGGTCGCGGGGGGCCGGTGGCCCGGGCGAGACTGCGGGGGCCACGAGCGGAGTTTGGCGAGGTCGGGAAGCGAGGAGGGGCGGGAAGGAGTAAGAGAGGAAGCCGAAACGGGGGGACGGAGGCGGGGAGCGGGTGCCCGGTGGGGGAAGGGAGAGGCCGCCGGGGGGCAGGGGCGACGAGGCCCGAGGCCCCGCGCCGCGCCCCGACGCCCCTCCCGCCGGCCTGCCCCAGGGCGGCCCAGCTTGGGACTGCGCGGTCGGGGCGGGGGTCCCGAGCACACGCCCGATCGCCCCCCGCGGAGGGGTGGGGGAAGCGGGGGGCTCGGCCTCCGCAGTAGCGGAATAACAATGAGCCCGTCGGCCCGGGAGGGGTTAATCCCCGCGGCCCCCGCCCCGGAGGAAAGCGGGGCTCCCCCAACTCCCCCTCCCCCGCTCCCGGCCCCCTTGGCGGCCAGTGGGGGGCTCCCGGGCAGCGCTGACAGTTCGAGCTACAATGCCCCCCCCACCCGGCCCCGACGCGGGCGGCCCCCGCACCCCACGCGGCCGGGGGTCCCTGCCCATCCCCCGCAGGCGGGCCCCGGACCCCTGGGGCTCCCCGGCCCCTCTCCACCACCATCCCGGCCCCGTGCCTGGCGGCCCGGGCGGCGCGGGTCCGGGAGGCGGCGAAGGGTGTCCCCGAGGCCCGGCGGCGCGGCCGGGGGGCGGCGGGCGGCGGGGGGGATCCCCGTACCTCTCTTTGTGTCTGGCTCCTCCGTGCCGCCGCCGCGGCTGCTGCTGCGGCTGCGGCTGGGCCTGGCCACTCGTGTCTCTCTCTCGCTGGGAGAGAAGCGGAAGTGCAGCAACAGCAACTATTAAACAGGCAATGGCTTCCCCCAGCCACACACGCTCGCACACACACCACTCCTCCTCCTCCACCTCCTCCTCCTCCTCCTCCTCCTCGCCCTCACCCCTCCCCCACCCGGCCCGGTCCCACCCACCCGCGCTCCCCTCCCCCTGCAACACCTCGGGGGTGGGGGTGGCGCGAGGAGGACACCGGGGACCCCGGAAAACCCTGTCGCCTTCCCCACCCACACCCCGACCCCAGCGCCGCCTCCGGACGCCCGGGAAGGGGGCGAGGGGTGTGAATTTTTTCTCAAGTGGTTTGGGGGACCTGGATTCTGGGCGCGACCGGGGAAGCGGCTGAGAGACGGGGGGCGATGGAATAGAGAGAGGAAGTTCTTTCCAATGAAGGCTTCTGGAAAGGGGTGGGGGGGCGGGAGTGGCAAATGAGTGAAAAAGATGGTCATCTGGTGGCAAGGACTTTGGACTAGAAAATGCAGCGGGAACTCCTCCTAAAAAAAAAGTGATCAGTTTAAAGAGAGGGAAGGAAAAAAAAAAAGATCCCTCAACAGGGTTTCCTTTGGGCTGACACTTGCTTCTCCCTCTAGCAATTTACCTGCCTGGAGCAGAGGTCATGCCTGTGAGAAAATCCCAAGCTTGGAATTTTCTGTTCAGGGCACGAGGCACGTGCAATTTTACAATATTAGAGTCTTCCATTCACTTTTTACAGAAAGTGGTGTGGTTTTATAAAAGTGATTGAGAGGATTTCGTGACAGGTAGAAACCAACGTGAGTCGGGGTTTGCAAATGTGAGAGTCACTGGGAATACACAATATTCCACTGAGTTAGACGGGGTTTAGGATTTTTAGTGTCCGTTGACATTAGATGTAAAGTTTGATTTTTTTAGAAATCGGATGGAAAGTTATACGGGTTTTTTTTTTTTCTTTTTAACCTTTTGCCACAATAAAAACGCTATTCGAATAAAATTTTTAGAATAATCACAACAATTCTGCTGAGTTGTTCCTTATTTAGCATTTTAACAAAATTGATTTTTAGAAATATTAAGTCATCAAATTACAACTTAGTTTCTTACCTATTTGTCATTTAAATTAAAGAGAACTGAAATAATGTGTGCCATCCAAATACAACAGTGCACACATACAAGGTCTTGACATTGAGGAGACAATCCCAAGTCAGATTTCCACAGCCCACTTAAAAATATTTCATTCAGGTTACCATCATTTTCTACGGTAACAATGGCTTCAGTCATCACTGAACAAAAGATACAAAGAACACGGCATATCAATAACCAGAAAAACAGGCCTTCCCGATACCCAGCTAAGTCCCTTCTAATAATCAAACTGAAATCCCAACTTTATGAAGATTCAAAGTAGCTGGGCATGATGGTATATGACTGTAATCCCAGTGACTCAGGAGGTTGAAGCTGGAGGATAGCAAGTTCAAGGCCAGCCTAGTCAATTTTGTAAGACCCTGTCTCAAAATAGAAAGGGCTAGTAAAGCTCAGTGGTAAAGTGCCTCTGGATTCCATCTCTACTACTGGAGGAATGAAAAATGATTCATAAAGTAATGATATACACTTCTTGCTCAGTGCTTATGAGGCAAACTTTATCTACCAGAAGTTGTCAATAAAGTCAAGAAATGTAAAACTGGAAGAATATAGATCATCATTTCAGTTTCCTGCCTCCAGACAGAGCTCTCCCTCCACTACCCAAAAGAATTCGGATTTTGAAAAGATCTCCAGACATACCCTTTCTTAGAGTTTGGTTTCAGGAGTCCTGGTAGAGCATATAAAAATTATGACATTCCTTTATGTATGATATTTGAAAACAACAAAAAATAATAATAATAATTCCTTAAAAAAAACTCTTATACTTTTGTACTTTTTGTACTTCTGATGAAAATTGTATATTTTGCAATAAGTAAATTTTTAAAAAACTCAGGATTAGGAAAATAATTAAAAGACAGTTATGAAAATTAGCATTTTCTCTTATTAAAGTTTGAATTTCTGATATTTAAAATACGCATTTATTTTATGAGTACCAATAGTGGGGGGGGGGGATCATACATGTATAAAGACAAGAGCTGGCAGAGATCACAGGAAAATAAATTATTTGATTTGTTAAAGTAACCAGGACAGCTAGGCACTCCTGAGGCTGAGGCAGGAGGATCACAAGTTCAAAGCCAGTCTCAGCAATTTAGCGAAACCCTGTCTCAAAATAAAATATAAAAAGGGCTGGGGATGTGACTCAGTGGTTAAGCACCCCTGGTTTCAATCCTCAGTACCAAAAAATAATAATAATTTAAACATAAAGTAACTAGGACACTGGGTGAATGTTTCTTTAATATTGGTTTTCATAAATTATATACTTGAATACTAAGTATAATAATAATTTTAATGTTTTTGGAAAATTGAACTTGATTTTTTTATGTTTCATTGTTGATGATTGGTTCAGATTGGTCCCTGGGGAAATTAATCATGAACTCTAAGAGTTCATCCTGGGTAGGGAAGTGCTTTCCCAGGTATCTGTCTAGAAGCCTCCTAACCCTCTTCTGTCCTCCTCTAATCTCTAATACACACTAGTTTAAGTTAGTGCTTTATGGTTTTAGAATGACCTGCCGAGGGGGAATAAAGACCTCAAAATGTTTAGAGAATAACCCACTGCTTTCAAAAGACTAATCTGTACGTATTTTGAATGTACAGTTGCCTTAGGAAAAAGATTCATTTGAAGCCTTCTAGTTCTTCTACTTAATAACTACAAGGCCTAAGGAAGTAAATTGATATTCCTGAAGCCAGGTGTGGTAGTTTATGCCTGTGATTCCAGCCACTTGGTCCAGGCCAGCCTGAACAACTACTAAGACCCTGTCTCAAAAAATATAAAAGGGATGGGGATGTAGTTCGGGGTAGAGTGCTCCTGGGTTCAATCCTCGGGAGAAAGTGGAGAGACTAGGAGGAAGGAATTCTCAGGGAATAAGGATTTCATTGGTAGAAGGGCCCTAAGAATGGTTCACATTCATGTTATAAGTGAAGAAATTAAGACAAAGAAAGTTGGTACCAATATCTTATCCAAGGTCATGCAGTAAATTGGTGGCAAAAGAGCAATTCTGACCCATGCTGTTCACAGATGATCCTGTCAGTTCTGGCAATATTGGGGTGGAAGAAGAGCCTCGATTACAGTTGGAGAAAACTATATTAAATATAAAAGAACACTGATAATATTTTCAAGACTGCATTAACAATTAAGACATAATTGGAAAAGTGGGCAGATGGGAGCAAGCTAAGGGAATCACTGAATTTGTAACATTTACTTGAATAAACTAATGACCACTGTGGAAGGCCCCTACCCCTCATCCTGAGAACAATCCTCCCTCTTTATTTATTTCATATTTACAGATACGTATTTTTCTTTCTTTTTTTCTTCTCTCTCTCTCCTCTCTCTTTTTTTTTCTCTCTCTCTGCCTTTTGTACTAAGGATTGAACCCAGGCATGCTCTACTATTGAGCTACATTCCCAGCCCTTTTTGGTTTTTGAGTCAAGATCTCACTAAATTGCAGAGACCGGCCTCAAATTTGCTATCCTCCTGCCTCACTCCTGAGTTACTAGGATTACAGGCATGCACCACTGCCACTATGCCCTGCTTATGGATAAGTTTTAAGTAGGTAATACATTTTCATGCAGCATTTTTCTTTTCTTTTCTTTTTTTCCTACCAGGAATTGAACCCAGGGCCACTGAGGAATTGAATCTACCAGGAATTGAACCACTGAGCCACATCCCCAGCCTTTTTTATTTTTTGAGATGGGTGGGGTCCCCCTAAATTGCTTAGATCCTCAATCAATTGCTGAGTCTGACTTTGAACTTGTGATCCTCTTGCTTCAGCCTCCCAAATTGCCTGGATTACAGGCATGTGCCACTACACCAAATCCATGCAGTATTTTTCTAAAGAAACCAGAATATGTGCTTCGAAAATATCCTGTTCCCCCAACACCACCACTCCCAGTTTCCCTCAGAGGAAGCAGTTTTCTGTTGTAGTCTAAGCATGTGCAAGCAAATGCATGCGTACACATTGAATGCTTTGATAGGACTGATTCATTTACATTTTTAAAAATGCATCCAGTCAGGGTGGTGACCACAACTCTAATCCCAGGGACTCCAGAGGTTGAAGCAAGAGAATGCAGGTTCAAGGCCAGCCTCAACAATTTAGTGAGGCCCTAAGCATCTTAGTATAACAGGGTTAACTTGATGCTTTTACTATATCCCTTGTTGCTTTGAAACTTACATATTTTTTTCTGTTTTCCAATCTTCTCCTCCCTAATCTTCTTTTCTCTAACCTTTTCCTTCCTGATCTTCTCCTCCCCATCTTCTTTTCCTTAACCTTCCTGATCTTCTGTTTCCTGATCTTCTCCTTCCTGACCACTCTTCCCTAATCTCATTTTCCCTCAATCAATTAAAAGCCCCCTGTTCCTGCCTGTGGGCAGAATCTCAGCCTTCGGGACAGGAGTGGCCTGTGTTTCTCCTTTGCTAGGAAAGCAATAAGCTGCTTTGGGGACAAGGACTGAGCTGTTGGCAAGTTTAGGAAGACCCTCTCTGAAAAAAAGGCTGGGGTTGTAGTTCAGTGTAAAGCTTTAGGCTCCTGGGTTCAATCCCTGGTACAAAAAAAAAAAAGCATTCAGTCACAGAAACCCAAACAGAGGTGCACTGTGACATCTCCTGGGCTTTGAGAAAGTGGGCTCCAGTTTTCACTAGTACCTGTTCCTGGTTCTCAAAATGATCCAACTCTCTTCTTCAAGTCATCTTTAGAATATCAAGTACTTTAAAGTAGAAGCACTTGAAGATCAAGGGGCTAGCTGATCCCTAGAAGGTGAAAAAACAAAACAAAAAAAAAAAAACAGTTAATTCAAAAGAAAGAGACCCAGTCTTAACTTTTTTGAGCGCTCCTATTTTGGCTTGTTGCTTATACTGAAATTCCTGTATTTCACAAAAATAACCCCTCTCATTTGGTCAAATTCATGCCCAAAGAATTGTTAAACAAATTAACATTTGTTTAACTTACCTA